ATTTAATCATGTAAGAGAAACTCTTACTGTCTTGGCATGGGTCACATATTTACCCATGGGCCAAGAGGGTATGAAATGTGGGAGAATTCACTGATAGAAAAGAGAATGCTATTTGGGAAACAAATGAAAGGAATTTTGAGTGAGTAAAAACAACACAAATTATTTTAAGCATTTATTAGGTGATGTGTTACTTTTTCAGCAATGCCTGCCCTAGACTGTTAATCTCAATGGTTACCTTTTAAAATTCTGTCCAAGCACATTTTACTGGTCATCATAACACTAATATTTGTATAATTTTACAATATCTGTTTCCTTTACTTTAACTTTTATAAAAGCAGGGATGACATCTATGTAGATTTTTGTAGTATTTTTGCATCTATTACTACACCTCAGCATGAAAGGCACATATAATTTATGGAATACTATAAAATAAAGTTAATTATGCAAAATTTTACTGATTTGGTCAATTATATGATGTTAAAATATTTAAAAGAATTTTATAATGAAATAGAAAATGTGCATATTAAAAATAAAAAGAATGAAAAATTCTGTATTTGGTATATGAGCAATTATGAAGAAGAAAACAAAACCACAAACTATGTACTAAAAAGCTTGAAAACTATTTTATCTCTTTCTTATTTATAAATCCTAGTTTTGATAAATACAGAATTATTGGCTGACATTTATTTAGTTTCAGGCTAAAAGCAGAAGGACCCCTATCCCCCTGGTTTGTATGTTTTTTTTTTTTTTTGCTGAGAAATCCGCTGTCAGTCTGACAGATTTTTTATAGGTTACCTACCTGATACTCTGTTTCACAGCTCTTAAAATTATTTCTTTCACATTGACTTTTTTCAGACAAACAAGGGCTGGAGGAATTTGCCACTACCAAACCAGCACTACAGAAAATGCTAAAGGGAGTTCTAAATTTTATAACAAAAGCTTGATATGCACCAAAATAGAACCTCCTTAAAGCATAAATTTCACAGGACCTATATAACAAGAACAATGAAAAAACAAACTAGGTAACAACTGACATGATTAATTGAAGAATACCACACATCTTAACAATAACATTAAATGTAAATGGCCTAAATGTTCTACATTTAAAAAGTATAGAATGACAGAATGGATAAAATTCCAACAACCACATATCTGCTGTCTTCAGATACTTAACACATAAGCACACATGAAATTTAAGGTAAAAGGGTGGAAAAAGATATTCCACAACAATGAAAACCAAAAGCAAGCAAGAGCAGCTATTCTTAAACAAAACAAACCTTAAAGCTCAAAAATCTGTTGCTTTAAGGTCTGAAGACAAAGAAGGATACTACATAATGATATAAAATTAATCCAACAGGAAGGTCAGTTAATATCCTTCTTTGTCTTAAAAAGAAGACAAAGAAGGATATTATAAAATGATAAAATGATTAGTCCAACAAGATGATATTAGAATCCTAAATATAAAATCACCTAACACTGGAGTTCCCAGATTTATAAAATGATTTTTACTATACCTAAGAACCGAGATAAACAGCAATACCATAATAATGGGGGACTTCAATACTTTACTGACAGCACTAGATAAATCGTCAAGGCTGAAAGTAAATAAGAAGCAATGAACTTAAATTACACTCAAGAAGATGAGGTGTGGTGGCTCATGTCTGTAATCCTAGCACTTTGAGAGGCCAAGGCAAGTGGATCACAAGGTCAGGAGATTGAAGCAATTCTGGCCAACATGGGGAAACCCTGTCTCTACTAAAATACAAAAAAAAAAAAAAAAAAATCCAGGCATCACGCTGTGCACCTGTAATCCCAGCTACCCAGGAGGCTGAGGAAGAAGAATCATTTGAATCCAGGAAGTGGAGGTTTCAGTGAGCTGAGATTGCACCATTGCACTCCAGCCTAGTGACAGTGAAACTCCATTTAAAAAATTACATTCTAGAATGAATAAACTTAACAGGCATTTCAAGAACATTCATCCCCCAAACTGAAGAATATACATTCTTCTCATTAGCACATGGAAAATTCTTTAAAATATACCATATAGTAGGCCTCAAAAGTCTAAATAAGTTTAGAAAAATTAAAATCATGGACACATGATATCCAAAATGGCCGATTAGGAGGAGCTCAGGATTGCAGCTCCCAGCAAGAGCACAGAGGGTGAGTGAACACTGCATTTCCAGATGGATTTTGATTGCCTGCAGACCAGGAGATTCCCAGGCAGACGAGCCCCATGGGTTGCCAGTGTGGCTGGTTTGGCTGGAGCGGCTGTTTTGTCAGTGCCCCGGCGTGGCGGTTCTCTGTAAAAAAATACATGGGTCCAGGAGCTGTTTTAGCTGGCTATTGGAGCTCTGGGAAGGCAGAGTCACCCATTCATCTGATTAAAAAGGGGACTGAAACAGGGAGCCAGGATAGGAGATTCCCAGGTAAAGAAGCGCCACAAATCTCAATGTGGCTGTTTCAGCCAGTGCAGTGGGTCACCGCAGGGGAAATTGCACAGATCCTGATGCCTTTTCAACAGGTGACTGGAACACCTGGGAGACAAAAAAAAAAAAGGTTCTGAGGCAGACAGCCAGGTGATCAGGCTCGGCTGGTCCGACCCCCACAATAAAACAGCAATTGGAAATGCTCTGGATTGAGAGTTTCACAGCAAGCACAGCTGATCCCGGGATGGTCCAGCTCTGTGGGGGAGGGGTGTCTGCTATTACTAAGGCAGTCCACCACTATGGAGGTAATTTGCCATTGCTGAGGCAACCCACCTTTGCTACGGCAGTTCACCATTACAGAGACAGTCTGCAATTATAGAGGTGGGCCACCATTGCCAAGGCAGTTCTAACTACACCTGTATAAACAGGACTGCAGGGAAGTTCACATGGCAGCTGGGCAGAGCCCACAGCAGCTCAGCAAAACCTCTGCAGGCGGGCAGTGACTAGGCTGCCTCCTCACTGGGCAAGGCAGCTCTGAAAAAAGCCAGCAGCACAATAGAAACCCATAATTGAAGCCCTAACTCCTCGTAACAAAGCACCTGGGATTTAAAAAAAGGGGGAGATTTATGAGTTCTACTGCAGCAGACTTAAATGTACCTGCCCAGCAGTTCTAAATAAACAATGGAGCTCATGGCTCAGCACTTGGAGGCCCAGCTCTTGGCCTCAGCATGGTCTCCTATCAGGCTCAGCTCCCGTGTTTTTGGCAGCATGTATCTACAGGCCCAGCTCTGGCCTCTCAGTGGCTTCTTTAGGCCAAGCTGGTGCCTCCCTGGTGACCTTATTATGCTCAAAGTTGGCTTTCTGGCATCTTCTCCCACACCAGAATCTTGTCAATTGGACTTCTCCAGGCCCATCTCTTCCTCCTGGCTGCATCTACAGGTTCAACTCTTGCCTCACAACAATCACATTTTGTCCTGCTCCTGCCCATCTCCTGGCAGCCTCTGTAGGCCCCAGCCTTCCTCCAGTCTGGCTTTTCTCACCCACCTTTGGCCTCCCAGTGGCCTAGACAGCTCCAGCTCCTGCCTGACAATAGCCTTTCAAGGCCCAGCTTTTGCCCCACGTGGGCCTTCTCAGGCCTAGTTACTACATGTTTTTCAGCTGACTTTGCAGGCCTATGTTTTCCCTCACTGTCGCTTTTTCAGGATTATCTTATGCCTCACATTTGCCTCTCAAGATTCAGCTTCTTTTTCATGGCAGCCTTTGTTAGACCTGCTGCAGCCTCACATGGCCTCTCCAGGCTTATCTTCTGCCTTTTATTGAACACTCAAGGTCATCTCCTGCCTTATGGTTGCCTTTTCTGTTGCTGCACTTGTCTCACAGTTGTCTCTTCTGGATTCAGCTTTTTAGGTCATTGATGGTTAACAGCAGTCAAAAGCTTAAAGCTTCCCTGGACTCTCATTTGTTTACTTCACACCAGTGTGTGTTTTCAAAACACCTGTCTCCACTTGTAACCTTGACAGTGCATTTCTGTCAGATTTGTAATAAATTCTGCCTTTGTTTTTCACAGTGGTGCCTGTTTTACTTACTGTCTCATGGTTTGTCTTGTCTTCTGGGGGTTCAGAAGGGAATGGGCCTCTGCTTGGGCTGTTAGTCTTTGCCCTGGACATAGCACCTTCTTATTTCATGTCTTCTGTTTTTATATTTTTTACAGTTTTTTTCCTTAGCCTCTTATTCTTTCAACAAGGCTGGAGTGTCATCATGTGATCATGGCTCACTGCGGTCTTAAACTTTTGGCTTCAATAAATCCTCCTAAATCAGCATCTTGAGTAGCTACAGGCAAACGTCACCATCCCTGACTAATTTCTGACTTTGTTGGAGAGGTTGGTTCTCACTCCGTGGCTGGCCTTTGTTGGGGTCCGGCACATCTGCCAGGGGGCTACTGACCTGCAGGAGTCCCCGAGACCGTCAATGTAGATGTCTCATTCAATCTGAGGGAGAGAGTGCATGGAAGTGAAAGAAAAAAGAAAAGTCTGGAGGGCTGGCTTAGGCTATGTCCAAGCAGCAATTTTATTTTTGCAATATGTTCCATTATATACTTTTCTGAAGTTAATGTTGTTTACACCAGATCAACATACTTAAGTTACAGTAAGCAAGTTACACCCACTAAGTTATGCCCAGTAAGTAAGTTAAGGCCAGTAAGTCAGTTACGCCCAGTAAGTTACGGTAAGTTACAGTTACACCCAGTAAGTTATGGTAAGTAAGTTACCAACTGTAAATACTTAATATTTTACAATGAAGGTAACAAGGGTCCAAAATGAACACAATCAAGCAATAAACCATAAGGAGCCAAAAGTGGACATAATGCCTCCCAAGTCCTCATCTCCATAAAGTAATGTCTGTTAATTATTTTGAATAGCATAGTGCCTCTCTCGGTTCCTGCTTTCCCTCAGCTCGACTCCCCCAACTGGGGATTTGTGTTTGGGCTCAGGCTCACCGTATGGTGAGGCCCATTTCTTAGGGGCATCACATGGGAGTAATCCCCAAAGATCCCTCAGTTCTCCCTTTTGTTTTTAGATGCAACTCAAAAAGCTTGAGCCGCAATTGTTGAAGGGAGGAGAACACAAGGCGAAAGAGTACTGGGAGAAGGACTCTAAGAAGGAGTAAAACCACTTCAATACCAATTAAAGAGGAAAAGGATGGGAGATGAACTCCATGTACCCAGGAAGACAAGGTGTCCACAATATTATGGGCGATTGTGTCATCCTCAGGCAAGTTTTGATGAGAAAATCAATGGCATGAATTTCCTGCTGAAGCTTGAAAACATTTAGAGATAAATTGTCATGAGTCCAAATTCCTTGTAAATGAGCCTTAACAAGAGGCCACTGCCATTTAGTGTCATTATAAGGAGTATTAGTAACATAAATATATTTATAATCAGCATGGCAACGAAGGGCCAGGCGGTTCTGAATATTATAAAGTTTATCACCAAGAATACTAACAGTTTGTTCCAAAACGTTAAGTTTTTCATCAATTTTCTTATCAATATCCATTTGAGTTCCCATCATAACAGAAATATTCTTTGCAAGGTGATTAACATAAGTAGCAGTTTGGACACTGTGAGCAAGACTAACAGCCACGGTAGCCACAGTGGCCACAACTGAAACTACAGCAATAATGCTAACAATGAGAATACCAAGGAAACGTTTAGGATGGATCATAAGATCATGAACTTGTTGGAAAATAAGAAGGGCTTTTTCATCATACCAAGGTCCAGAAACGTTAACGGGTAACATAATGTAGGGGGGGCTGGTGCACAGGAAGGGTATGAACAGGAAAAAAGGAAGAATCAATGCAGTTGGTAAGAATACAATTTTCATAATAAATGGAATATGAGCCAGAAGCTCGGGTAATGGAAACATTACCAGCAATAATAGCATAAGGAGAAGCGTCGCAAGATTGAGTATAAATAGTATGCCTAGTGGGATAAGATAAACTGTGGGAACCAGCACAAACAAACGTAGGAAATAAGGATATAAACAGCTTCCAGAGAGAGGTATAAACTTTGCCAGAGAAGGTAGTGTAAATAAAAGTGCTCCAACCACCAGGTGTTTTATAACGAGCTAAGGCAATGCCAAGAGGATGAGGAACAGACCAGTCAAATAAGGAGAAACCAGAAGGCAGGGTATAATAGCTTGCTTTTGGTTAGGAAAACAGAACTGACAATGTGGTCCAAAGAGGAGTTAGAAGGTTGACAACGATGGTGCTCAATGAGTGGAAATCGCTGAGTGGAGGAAAAATTGTAAGTTTCTCTAATTCCCACATAGTTGAGTATCCAGTCATGAGAATAAACGGTTTCCTGGGAAGAGGTCGGGGGCCCAGGAAAGGTATGAAGTCAGCGAATTCCAAGATCGAAGGAATAAGGACCGGAAAAAGAAAGAGGAATAGAAGGAGGGGAATAGACATTGGCAGAGAAATCATGGTCCCAGATTTTGGAGGTGAAGAAGCACATGAAAGGGGCAACAGCCTGGGCAGAGTACGTGTAGGTAGAAACTTGAGGAGTAATATGAGAAGAAGAGGGGAAGCCAAGAATAGAAGTATCATTAATGTAGACAGGGAAGGCAGGATCATTCCAGGTAACAGGTCGAAGAAAAGGAGGATCGGGAATGTAAGCCCACAAAACATGAGAATCAGGGAGAGGGAAGACCTGTGCCAAATGACAAGACAATATAGCCATTATAGCAATAAACATAACAGTAGGAGAATGGGATTGTCCGGAAGATGAGACCAGGGTGGCTGCTTCAGCAGTTAGACGGGCATCTGGGCCCACGTCGGCAGGGGGCTGTCCCGTTGCAGAGTCTGGGAGTTCGCTGATCGAGCGAGTCCAGCGGTGTCGGCTAGGTGGTGGTGGCATCAGCCAGAGATGATGAAGACTGGGTAGCAGGTCATTTGCACTGCCTGGTGGGGAATTCATGCTTGGCCAGGCATTCAGGAACCCAGATAGGTGAGGGGGCAGATCTAGGAAAGACACAAATGTGACCTTTTCCCCAAACTAATACAGGGTCAGGGCCATTCCATTGATTAGAGAATAAGTATTTCCATAACACCATAGGCGTGGCTGAGTCCGTTGGGTGCCAGAAATGATCAGCTGCTGAGTGGCCCTGGGAATCAAGGGTTAAAAAATTTAGAACATAAACAGCATGCCTAAGTACATCATGTGGAGACTTGCAAAAGGAAGGAGGTGAATTATTTAGTTTAAGTAAAAAGTTTTAACAGTGGCATGAGCATGTTCAACAATTCCTTGTCCTTAAGGATTATAGGGAATTCCTGTCTTATGAATCACCTGAAATTGAGAACAAAAGGTTTGGAATGAAGAACCGGTGTAAGCTGGAGCACTATCAGTCTTTAAAATTTTTGGTGCACCTAGGTTGGAAAACACGAGTAGACAATGAGCAGTCACATCCTTGACTGCCTCTCCTGTATGGGCTGAAGCTATTATGAAATGAGAAAAAGTGTCAATAGTTACATGCACATATTTTAAATGACCAAAGGAAGCAATATGGGTGACATCCATCTGAAAGATGTGGCCAGGCTGTAGGCCACGAGTGTTTACTCTAGTGTGTGTGGGTTGAGGTAAGTGAATTATACAGGCAGGACACTGCTTAACAATGGCACGAGCCTGTTCTCTGGTGATCTGAAATTGTAGCCACAGACTACGGGAGTTTTGATGATGTAAGGCATGAGATGCTTCAGCCTGCTGTAAGGGAGAAAGCGCAGGGGCTACAACTGGTCGAGTAAAACCATCAGCATGTCTGTTGCCTGCAGAAAGAGGACCAGGTAAATCAGTATGTGCATGAATGTGACCAATAAAAAATTGATGAGTCCGCTTGCAGATAGTCTGCTGTAAAGGAAGAAATAGGTGTATTATAGCAGAACTGTCAGAAAATGACAAGGGCGCTGTCTCCAGCAGACTGATCAGGTTAACTACATATTGACTGTCAGAGTATATATTAACTGATTGATTACAAGTGGAGAGCACATGTTGAACAGCAAGCAATTCCACCCTTTGGGTGGAAGTTTCAGGTGTCTGGAAAGAAGGGAACATCATCAATTTGTCCAGTGGCAAGTGCGTTTGAGAAACTGTCTGTAAATGCCAAGTGGACTGAGAAATTGGCTGCAAAGAACATGTCTTGGGGAAAATAAGATTACATTTGGAATAAAAATGCAGTATTTTGTCTTTGGGATAGTGGCAGGAAAGTTGTCCTGTGAAATTTGCAAGAGCTATTTGCCATGAGTCAGAAAATGACCACAACCAAGATTGCTCTTGGGCGGTGTAAGTCACAATCATAATAGATGGGTCAGAGCCAAAGAGAGTAAGTGCCCTGAGGCGGCATTTGGCAATTAGCATAGACACTAAGTCACGATAAGGAGTAACAATACGAGGCAGACTGGTGGACAGATGGAGCCACTCCAAGATTCCCTTTTGCCAGGAAAGACCTGTGGGGGTGTAAGAGGTGCGTAAGATGCATAAACACCAAGACACTCCAATAGTGACATGGTTTCGTTTTTGTTCAGAGAGAGCATCTTGCACCAATTGCAAGGCATGTCTAGCTTTATCAGTAAGTGTCCGGGGAGACTTTGGGTCTGTGGGGCCTCTGAGCATATCAAAAAGAAGCTTAAGCTGACCAGTAGTTAATTTAAGACTAGGCCTGATCCAGTTAATATCTTCCAAAAACTTTTGGAAATCATTCAATGTACTGAGATGGGCAGTAGATAACACAGGAGTCTTAATAGGACACTTGATTGAAGTCAATGAGGTGACCCAAATAATGGAAAGGCATTACTTTATGGACTTTGTCAGGAGATATAACTAAGTTTGAATTTGTAAGGAGGTCGCTTAAATCCCTAAAGGCTTCCTGTAGGAGGCCGGGGGAAGGAGCAGCCAAAAGGAGATCATCCATATAATGTAGCAAAAGAACATCTGGATGGCGCTCACAGAGGGGCGCAATTACCTGAGCAACAAATTTCTGACATAAGGTGAGGCTATTCGCCATACCTTGAGGCAGAACAGTCCACTCATAGTGCTCAAAAGGCCTGTCAAAATTGGTAGCAAGAACACTGAAGGCAAACCTGCAGCAATCTTGAGGTGCCAAGGGGATGGAAAAGAAGAAATCTTTCAAATCAATAACTAGTAATTCCCAATTTTGAGGAAAAACAACAGGCGAAGGGAGTCCAGGTTGCAGTTGTCCCATGACTTCCATAATTTCATTCACTTTCCTAAGGTCTTGTAAAAGTCTCCATTTACCAGATTTCATTCTAATGACAAAAACAGGAGTATTCCATGGGCTATTAGAATGCCTTAACTGGCCAGCTGCAAGCTGTTCCTGGACCAGCTCTCTAGCTGCAGCAATCTTTTCAGCAGACAGAGGCCACTGGTCTACCCACACAGGAGAATCAGAAAGCCAAGTGATGGAATCAGCATGGGTGCCAGGAGTCACAGTAACCCGTTGGAAAAAAACCCTAACCCTGAACGATGATTTTTATGAACAACTTCCAAGGGCATAAGGTCACCTTATAAATTTTGACCAAGACCTTTAGAAGGATGGAAGCCTTGTTTCATCATGATATCCAAGGCTGGGCTAGAAGTAACTAAATGAGCATTCATAGACTGTAAAATGTCACAGCCCCACAAGTTTATGGGAATGTTGGGCAAAACATATGGATGGAAAGAGCCACTATGGCCTTCTTCATCTGACCAAGATAACAATTGGGAAGACTGATAAGGGTCAGAAGAAGTGCCTATACCCTGCAGAGACATATAAGCCTGTGTGACAGGCCATGCAGGGGGCCAAAACTCTGAGGAGATTACAGAAACATCTGCTCCAGTGTCTAAAAGGCCCCTAAATTTCTTTTCATTAATGGTAATAATCATTTCTGGTCATGATGCCAAAATGGCTTGTACCCAGCACAGGTAAGAAGGATCTTTCTTGTCCCAAGGAGGGGATGTACCTGAGATAGCGCTCTCTTTGTGAGGCACAAGCAGAAGCTGCGCGAAGGGAGAGCCCGGCTGTAATGTAACTACCCCTCCAGCAGTAGAAGCTAGCACAGTCAGTTCTCCAGAGAAACTTTGATCAACAATAGTGGGTACAATATGTGGAATTGCCTTACGTCCTAACAAAAGACCTATATATCCATCTGGTAATGGGCCAAAAATACCTGTTGGAACTGGAATCAGACCGGAATCAGGCGTTAATAGGATTTCAGTGGTGAGACAGAGGTCAAGTCCTGAACAGTAGGTCGAAGAAGAGGAAAAGCCTCGATTGGTTGCGGGGGTCGAGGCGACCCCCTATGGGAGTTTCCCGAATGAGGGAGAAGAGAATTTCCTTGAGCATCCCTTTTAG